GGCCCGGACGCACCTGCCGGCGGCCGCCCCCTCGCACAGGGCGCGGAGAAACGGCAGGACGCCCCTTACCTGGTCCCAGGGAGAGACGGTGCCGCCGAAGCACATGAAGAGGAAGCCCATGGCCACGAGGCAGGTCCAGATGACCAGCGAGAAGAGGCGGAGCAGCTTCTTGAACACAGACTCGATGCAGACGAGGATGAATATCGCAAAGAAAATCGCCAGGGCGGTGGGGACGGTGATGAGAAACGCCACGTGGTTCTCGGCTTCCTGAGGGGAGAACACAGCGCAGGGGCGCAGGTCAGAGCCCCGCAGGGCGACGGGCCGCAAAGCCGGGCACAGTGGGGGGGGACTGCCTGGACAAGCGCCTCACCTCTCTCATAGCGGGAGTATAAGGGCCCAGGCGAGGAGACAATGACAGTGAGGAACAGCCATAGAGCAGAGACATTTTGTGGGGGGGAGCGGGGAATGGGGTCAAAAACAGTGGGGGGAGGGAAGTGCACGGGACGGTGGTGAGGGCACAGGGTGATCTGGTGATGGGAAGCCCACGGGGATTGCAACTGAGATGGGAAAAGGCACAAAAATACGTAAAAATAAATTATTATACAGTTAAAAGGAAAAAGAGTTTCCACTTCTGAAGGGTCAGCTTCCGGCGATCACGCTTTCACACAAGCCACGCGCCGCCGCGCCACCGAATCCACGCTGCCGGCTCTGGGGAAACGGGTCGGATTCCGAAAAGAACGTAGGGGCGCGGAGAACGGGGGGCAGCCCGCGGCCCCTCCGCCACGGCTCGGCCAGAGCGCGGTCGCCAAAGCTTCCCAGGGGCTGTGAAACGTTTCGCTAAGGGCGAGGAGAAGCGCTCTCCTCTGCAAACTGAAGAGCTTTTATTCGCGGGCCGGACCACTGGGCTCTCAGCGGACCACAGGTTAGCAGAAAGGCCAGGAGGCGCTGACCGAGGGCGAGAGCCAGGGCCCAGGAGGCGCCACCCCTCTCTCCAGCTGGCGCAAGCACGGGCACGTGTTGCCAGCCTCTCCCGATGCAGCTTCTAAAACACGAGTGGCACCACTGCTCGCAGTCACGCAGCAGGGCGCCCCGCGGACGCGACACCCCGCAGCACCACCCGGGCGCCCCACCCCGCAGAGGGGGGCGCCCCAGCATGGAGCATTCCCAGCTGCCCTGGCTCCGAGCCCTCACTTTCCCCACCCTGTAAATAAACACTGTTTACTTCTGCCTTGGGGCCCTGTCCTCGCTCTGAAGGCTCTGAAGCAGGACGTGAGAGCCATCAGCCAGGTCCTTCCTAGTCCCCAGGGTTTGTCCTGTTTCAAATCTAATCTGTTCTGACTGATGTAAGAGATAATACAATAAGAACAAAAATAAACACAGTAGAAAATGATTGCAATTGAGATCAACAAAGACCAAAAAGATAGCTATTGAAAAACAAAGGAGACATGAGGTTATGTAAGGAAAAAAGCACATAAATAAAAACCAAAACTAGCGTATGTGTGAAATGCTAAAATGTGAAGGCAAATGTCTCGCTTATTTGATCAGACTAGCAAAAATTTAATTTTTAAAGAGAGGGTTTGATAAAGGAGTATTCCAAATCCATTTCACCGAATAATATATTCGCAAATTCTTAAAAAAAAAAAAAAGTCAGCACATCACTTCTAACACTTTGTAAGAGAAAGCATGAACTCTGAGTTCGTCTTAGACATAAGAAGGTGCTCAAGATCAATCCTTACTATTCACTGCGTTGGCATTTTAAAAACTTGAAAAAGCATACAATGACCTCAACTTGGTAAAACTTACCACCCAATCACATTTAAACTTCTTTAAAAATTAGACTTCTTAACAAAAGAGAATCTCAAAAACAATACTAAAAAACCCACTGGATAAACTGTGAAGGGATTCTCTTAGAATTCAGGAAAACTCGGGGTTCCGATAATCACCAGTCTGTTTCACACTGGGGTTCCTGCTAGCATGATAATACAAGAAAAAGAAATTTTAGATCTCACTACTGGAAAAGAGGAAATGAAACCCCTCACTCGCAGGTCCCCTGGTGTCTCCCAGGGAGCCCCGAGGGGCCTGCAGGGCCCTTAATGAAAAGGGAGTGATATTCTGAATCCAGGGTGCATACTTTACACCAGCAACAAAATGATAGAAATCAACATCTTCAAGCATGTTTCATAGGAAGCAGCAAGCTAAAAACATCCTAGAATAAAGGCTAAGAACAGAACAGAGGGCGTCTTCAAACCTGATGGAGGCACACAGGAATGGATGCCCACGTTCAGGGGCAGCAACTCGCTTAAAACATGCCCACAATGCTGAACGATGAACGCGCAGGCACGGCCGGCCGAGAGCAGAGGCCCTCAAACTGTTCCTGTGCACAGGGCGACTCACGACAGAGGGGGAGGGTAGTCAGACTGCACTGTGAAAATCCACTCTTCATAAGAAAAATGTGTGCATGGGCCTAGAGCACCACAGACGTAGCTCACAAGACTTGGGGCACAGACACCAGTGTACACTTGGGTGATAAAGGCCAGAGGAGACAGAGGTGCAATCTGAATGCTGAGGGCCTGGAGGTGCTGCAACGCTGCAACGCTGGCCTGGCGGCTCTTGGCGCTTGGACTCGGAGTGCAGGTGCTCATTACCATACAGATAAGTAACAAGCCCGAGAGCGCACTAGGATGGAGCGCAACAAAAAAACTGCTACATGAATCACAAGATAAATCCCATCTTGCGCACTTCAAGCCTAATTCTGAAGAACTGGGATACAGGTTTGAATTAACTACAAGTCCCCCAAGTTAAAGAATTAAGCATCAGGACTCCCTGGTGGCACAAGGGGTTAAGTCTCAGCACATGAGGTTTCCAGTGGCCGGAGCTCGATCCCAGTCAGGGAAGGACCCCAGGGTGCAGCAGACCTCACCTGTCTCCCCGCTGCTCCCCTCGGCAGTGGGTTTTAGTCCATCTGTCTGTTCTGCTCACCACCCTGTCTCTGGTGAAGCCTCTCACCGCCCCTGCACTTCTGGCCTGGACCCCAGTTCTGTATGCACAAATAATCTTTAAAAAAAAAAAAAATGCAACATCAGACCCACCCTGTGTTTAAACCCCCTTTCCTCCTCTGCTCTCATCTGCATTGACCTGATCTCTTTATTCTCTGAATTTCCAGCATCAATAGTCTTCATTGGTCCTCGTCGTGGAAGAGTCCAGAATCACTTCCTCCACAGAGTCCACAGACCACTCCTAGCTCGCCTGAATCACTGTGCCTTTCAGTTTGTACATAGCTCTTTTCAGAAACACGGGCGTGCAAAGCCAAGACAATCGCTCCGTCCCGGGGGTGAGCTCCCTGGGCGGCGAGGGCCTCTCTGAGCGGGACCCACCGTCACGCCGCACCACGCCGCCCGGGAAGGCCCAGAGCTGGGGCGACCTGGGGTGACCTCAGCCAGCCACAACCGTCTGGAGTCAACATTCTCGGGAAAGTCAGTGTTCTAAAAAGAAGCTATTCCACTCGGTGTCCCTATGTTTCCAACGCCATAAATTATTCATTCCATGTATTTTAGCTGCACTGACAACTGCAAATTCCCACTTCAAGCACGGTGATCTGGGCAAGGGGCGGGTTCCAGCCTGAGCCACCGGGCGGTGGCACCGTGCGGGCGGCCAGTGTGCTCGGGACCTGCCCGCCTGAGCGCTGCCTGGGGAGCAGCCGCGGGACTCGGGTAGAGGCCGGTCACGGCGCAGCCCTCACCTGGCTCCTGGGGCGGGCACGTGCAAGGGGGGGGTGGGGGGGAGCCAGAACCCTCGTGGCCCTGCGGCAGCCTGGGGCTGAGGGGCGCCCCGGTCCCCACCCCCCCACCCCCGCTCGGCCTGCACCTTCGCGAGGCAGCACCAGCAGGCTCCGGGCCTGGCCGAGGGGCCGGACATCGGAGCTGACATCGGAGCTGATCACTTTCTCTCCTCCAGGTGCCAGGAGGCTGCAAAGCAGAGCTGCCGGGAGTAACCCCCTAGATTACCCAGGGGCTGCGCGGAGACACCGCGGTGGGCTCTGGGGAGTCTGGGAAATACACAGGGTGGTATGGGAAGAGTTTTGGAGCTGGAACGGAATAAACTTCCATCAGAATGTGGCTTACCTAGCTGTGGTCCTCCCTGCCCCTCCTGACCCGAGTTGCGCGCCCAGCACCTGTCACGGCCAGCAGCCCTTCCTCCCTTCAGCCCAGGTTGAGAACCCTGGCCAGCGCGGCGGTGGCCAGAAACACGTCCTCGGAGGCCAACGCAGGGGCGTCCTGCCCCAGCCTGGCGGCTTTGGGGACAGCATGTGCCGGGCCGCAGAGGCCGCCCTGCCCAGACACTTCAGGGACACGCCGCGGTCAGCGCGAGGCCGGGCCGGCCAGAGCCCAGGAGCCGCCCTCACCCCGAGGCTGCACCACGCAAGTGACAGCGCTGAGAAGCCGCCCACGCGGGGCACCAGACCAGCCTCGCGCCTGCTGTGGCTAGCTGTGCCCAACCCGGAGGCTGCCCGCCGGGAGGCAGCGGGAGCGCGAGCCGGGGGTCCGGGGCACCCTCCGGGGAACGGAGATGGACGATGGGCCCCACGGAGCCCGGGGCACCCGGCAGGCACGCAGCCAGCCTCGGGAGGCAGGAGGGAGGCCCGGGGGGGATGAGGCGTGCCGAGGGCTCAGGCTCTGGACAGCACCAAGCGCCAGGCTTCTGCGCAGCGGCTCTGACGCCCGTCACTAGCCTGGCATCAGGGTGCTGGGGCACCGGGTCGGAATGTGCCCGCCGAGGGCGTCTGGGTCCCAGGCCAACTTCCCCGCAGCTGCCCACGGGCCGGCGGGATCGGGACACAGTGCCCGCGGCAGGCCGTCTCGGGGGGCAGGTGACGCGCGGTCACCGCGGCTGGCTTGACTGGCAGGTCGGGGAGGCAGACACGGCTCGGGGCCCCGCGGGGTGCGTGGGCTGGGGGTCCTGCTCCAGGGCCCCAGACTGCAACACGTGGCTAAGACGCAGCACGCTCGCCAGCGCTCAGCGGGAGCGGCCTGCCCGCCGCGGGGCTCCTCGGACAACAGCAAAACTGGCCAGAACCTCTGCTCCGGGGGCGGCTGGGGTTCTGAGCTGGGAGGTGAGAATCCAAGACGCCCCACGCCACCAGTCAGTGACAGGGAGCCGCCCTGCCAGCCCGCGTTAGCATAACAAGAGGCAGAGGCAGCTGTAACCTCATTACCTAGAGGGATGCCCAGGACAGGACCTTGGGACCCCCCGGGAAGGCGCCATTA